CTTACAAAACAGGAAAGGAATGGGATCTGACACGGCTTCTTCTTAGGAACCCAGCAGCAGCAGTACCCCAAGAACTGGCTTCTAGGTAGGCATTTGGCCTAGCAGTTAAGACACTAGGCATAATGGAGGACCTGGGTTTTATACCCAGCTCTGGATTCCGACTCTGGCTTCCTAATAATGCAGACCCTAGCAGGCAGCCGTGATGGCTCAGGTAATTGGGTTCCTGTCACCATGTGGAAGACCTGGAATGACTGACTTCCAATTGTGGCTGCCTTTTGTATTCAGTCTAACCATTGACATCAAGTTCCTTGGTTGACAGTTTATAGATGCACACTCTGCATCCTTTCTATGAGAAAAACACAAGGGTACTTGACAAAGTCATGGAAAAATGGAACTAAACAAGGCTCATTTCAGTGTAATCCATGCAGTTTCTTCCTAGTAGGCACTTCCATAAGCTTTCTGAAGACCCATGTAGACCCACCTTCAATACACCTTACTACTTACCATTTTTCAGTGAAAACTGTCAGTGTCTCGGCAGCCTCCGGGGTGGGTCTCATGGCATGGCTGGACAGAGTTAAGCTTGAGATGAGACATTGAGAGCTGCTGACTGCTTCCTTGTAACACCTTAATTACCCCTGGGTTTTAGTTCCTTCTATGAGTGTTCACCCTCTATAACTGTTCTCCACGGTCCTCAGGCTCTCCTATCAGTTGCGTAACACAGAGAAAGGGATCAGATACGCAAAAGTGGCTCCGGAAGACAGGCAATGGGGCAGGGAGGGATTCATGTTCAGTGTCACCTCAGTGTCCACAGAAGCCATGGGGTGTTGAAAGGTCTCACTTCTGTGTAAGCCCCATCTGTCTGCCTCCCGCCCCCGCCCCGTTCCCTTGGAAGTGAGTGTTTCTACCTGGGATTTACACATCACAGTGATGTGAGCATGGGCACACCTGTTTTGGCCACATCATTGCCCTTTTATTCTCTGCCAAGTGTCACTTTCATTTTCATTTAAGAAATGACTTTCCTTCAAAGAGCCAGAACCCCAAAACTGAGCCACCCTCTCCAATGCTGACAAGTTACATGATTAGGGTGGAATTTTATTTTTCATTTCCCAGGTCAACAAGCCTCTGAGCTCTCCAACAGTATGAGGGGAACTTGAAAAGTTCATGGAAAATGAAACTAAGGACATGCCAAGAAATTTTTGAAATCCATGCTTACAAAGAGTGTTTTAAAATTTCATTAAAGTGCCGGTGCTGCGGCTCACTTGGCTAATCCTCCACCTGCAATGCTGGCACTCTGGGTTCTAGTCCTGGTTGGGGCGCCGGATTCTGTCCCGGTTGCTCTTCTTCCAGTCCAGCTCTCTGCTGTGGCCCAGGAAGGCAGTGGAGGATGGCCCAAGTGCTTGGGCTCCTGCACCCGCATGGGAGACCAGGAAGAGGCACCTGGCTTCTGGCTTCGGATTGGCATAGCTCCGGCTGTAGCAGCCATTTAGGGGGTGAACCAATGGAAGGAAGACCTTTCCCTATGTCTCTCTCTCTCTCTCACTGATTCTATCTGTCAAATAAAAAAAATAAAAAAGGGAAGTAGAAATGAAACATTAGAAATGAAGCATTCAATTGATCAAATAAAAATGTGGTAAAAATCTTTAACAGTATACTTGGCAAGGCAGAAAAAAGAATATCCAAATTAAAAGACAAATCTCTGGAAATTTTACAGTAAGATGAAGAAGAAGGAAGGAGAAAGAAGGAGAAGGAAGGAGAAGGAGGAGAAGAAGGAGAAGAAGGAGGAGGAGGAGGAGGAGGAGGAGAAGAAGAAGAAGAAGAAGAGGAAGAATAATAATAATAAGAAATTAGAAAACTTAAAAACAGTGTTGGAGATCTATGTGATACTATCAAATTACCCAACATGGGTCCTAGGAGTTCTTAAAGGTGTAGAAAGAAAGAATGAACTAGAAGGCATATTTAAGTGAAATAATTACAGAAAATTTCCACAATTTGGAGAAAGAAAGGGATATCCAAGTAAAGGAAGAGCATAGAACTCCTAACAGACACGGCCAGAAAAGATCTTCACCCCGACAAATTGTAGTCAAACTCTCCACAGTAAAACATAAAGATACTAAAATGTGCATGAGAGAAATTCCAGATTACAGAGGCTCTCCAATTAGACTCACAGCTGACTTCTCATCAGAAACCCTATAGGCTAGGAGAGAATGGCAAGATATAGTACAAGTCTTAAGAGAAAAAATGTCAACTCAGAATGCTATACCTGAAATCTCACATTTATGAATGAAGGTGAAATAAAGACCTTCCATAACAAACAGAAATTGAAAGAATTTGTCACCACTTGTCCAGCCTTATAAAAGATGCTTAAAGATGTGCTATACACAGAGACACAGAAAGATGCCCATTATTATGAAAGAATGTGGAGGCGGAAAATCCCCCAAAGGAAATCCAAAGTAAACAGTAGGAATATTTATGGGAAAATGGCAGGGCCACATCATTACTTATCAATAGTCACCTTGAATGTAAATGGCCTCAACTCTACAGTTAAAAATAGGCTTATTGGGTTAAAAAACAAGACACATCTATTTGCCGCCTACAAGAAACACATCTCACCAATAAGGATGCGTGCAGACTGAAAGTGAAAGGATATTCCAAGCTAATGGAAAACAAAAAAGGGCAGATGTTGCCATTCTAATATCAAACAAAATAGACTTTAACACAAAAACTGTTAGACAAAGAAGGGCACTATGTAATGATTAAGGGATCAATCCAACAGGAAGATGTAACTATAATAAATGTATACACACCCAATTACAGGGTGTCTGGCTGTTTAAAAGAAATGTTAATGGATCTAAAGGGAGACACAGACTTCATTACACAGTAATAGGGTACTTCAACAACCTACTTTTATCAAAGGACTGATCAACTAAACAGAAAATCAACAGAGCTAATTGACACTATGGAACAAAAGGACTTAACTGATATCTACAGAACTTTTCACCCACAGTTGAAGAACACAAATTCTTCTCATCAGTGCATGGAATTTTCTCTAGGACTTACCACATGCTAGGCCATAAAGTGAGTCTCAGCAAATTTAAAAAAGTCAAAATCATACCATGCATCTTCTCTGACCACAATGGAATGAAGCTGAAAATCAACACCCCAGGAATCTCTAGAGCATATGCAAACACATGGAGACTGAACAACATGCTCCTGAATGAACAGGGGGTCACAGAAGAAATAAAAAAAAAGTCTGGAAACAAGTGAACAAAATACATCATATCAAGACATATGGGATACAGCAAAAGCAGTGTTAAGAGGGAAGTTTATAGCAATTGGTGCCTACATGAAGAAATTGGAAGGTATTGCACTGCAAAAGAAATACTCAGCAAAGTGAAGAGACACCTGACAGAGGGAGAAATTGTTTGCAAACTATGCAACTGGTAAAGGATTAGTATCCAGAATATATGAAGAGCTCAAGAAATTCAACAACAAACAACTCAGTTAAGAAATGGGTAAGAACTTAAACGGGCAGTTTTCAAGAGAGGAAATTTAAGTGGTCAAGAGACACTTAAAAAAATGCTCAGGATCACTAGCCATCAGGGAGCTGCAAATCAAAACCACAATGAGGTTTCACCTCACTGCAGTTACAATGGCTCTCATATAGCAATCAACAAACAGCAAATGCTGGCAAGAATGTGGGGGAAAAGGTACCCTAATCCACTATTGGTCGGAATGTAAAATGGTGCAGCCACTGTGGAAGACACTATGGATATATCTTAGAAATTTGAATATAGACCTACCATATAATCCAGCCATCCTAGGAATTTACCCAAACCAAAAGAAATAAGCATCTTGAAGGAGTTATCTGTACCCCCATGTTCTTTGCAGCACACTTCACAATAGTTAAGATATTACCTAAAATGTAATGGAGTGAAAAGGACATTTTGAGATCTGATAATTGTTTATAGCCCTCGTCTCTTCTGTTGAGGAACAGTGTTTTTTGTTCCTTCATACTATTATTTGAACTCTTTTACTTAGTGTGGTGCTAACTTTATGATCATTAAGTAAACTGAAAATAGATCTTTGTAAAAATTAAGAGTGGGAATGGGAGAGGGAGGAGGGAAGGTAGAGTGGGCAGTCTCACTATTTTCCTACATCTCTACATATGAAATACATGAAACTTGTATAACTTACATAAAATTTTAAAAAAGAAAAAAAGTTCATGAAAAATGCACAGTATGAAAAAAATTATCCATGGATTTAAAATCTTTTTGCATGAAAGTATACTTACCTTTTAATTTGATCTTCCATTTTTGCAGTACCCTCATGTCTACTAACACTTTTATGTGAACACAAATGCATGAAAGTGAGCCAGTGCTAACAATTTAACTTTGCTATCCTCTCACCCAAGTGTGGTTCCAATTCATTTGCAAATGAAATAGACAAGAGGTCAAAGTCTAACCCAGACCTGGTTTATCAGGAACTTATGCTGGAGTACGGATTGACCTGAGCATGGTGGAGTCCTGTTGGTCTATGGCTCGGTCCCCGCTGCTCGGGTGCTTGGTCTTGCAGTTGGTTCTGTATTCTTGGCAGGCACTGTTGGCTCCTCTTACAGGCACCATGCTCAGGATGGCAATGCAGCTCAGTACCGTCTCCCGAAAGGTCATATACAGGTCATGTTGGACTATTCCGGGCATGTGCATTGGTTGAGGACATCTTTGATGGGTGTTTTGCAACTAGGGTCTAGAGGCTTCTTGTTCCTGGTGGATTTGAAGTTGGGTGATTCAGTCTGGTAGGAGTGGGTTGATACCAGGCCAGGTATCTAACTTTGTGAGCTGAGTCCTGTTCCTATTCTGTCTCACAGCTTCATGGACCTAATATTTCATCTTGGGGCTCGTGGTTGCCTTTCTATGGTGGCGAGGAGGGTGTAGTTATTTTTATTTTTAAAGGTATTATTCTAGTTGTTTAAACAAGCAAATAAAGACATTCCTGCAAATGACTGAAATTTGCTGGATTTATTTTTTTCTAAAGTCGTACATTTACATATACCATATATATTTTTTAAATCCTTCACTATTTTGCATGATTTCTATTACATAAAAACCATTTAAATGCAATAAATTTTGCTGTTGTAAAACAACAAAATACTCCCAACTTATAAAAACACAGGAACAGTTATATTCATGAACATTTACACAATAGAGCAATGTACTATACATATCACAGCTTCTATACATATCAGGGGACTCACTTGTCTACAAGTTTTCGGCTTACTTTAACAACAGTGAAATAGGGGAATATTTATATACAACTATTTTAATAAAAATAAAGCAATTGTAAAATGTAAACTTAATTTTCAAAATATTCTTTAAACACTTTAACAATATCCACATAAACTACTGTTCCGCTCACGAGACGACCACCGTAAATGCCACGAGGCGGCATTTCTCGGATCTGGTGGGTGATAATGAGGAACAGCTTTCCAGTACACGAGGCGATGCCACTTGCTTACCTAAGACTGCTCACATGGCGGCTCGGCCACTGAAAAGGAGTAGCTGTGATTTTGTCACTGATTACTTTCACAATTTGCAGGGGGACATATGGCACCGGGACTGCAATTAAACTAAAATGACTGGTGAAGGAAACTATGAAGGTAAAGGAATTTTCCACACTGCCAATTCGTTTGAGCCAACGTGAATACACCCCAGTGAACACGTGGCGGAAGTGAAAAGCTTGTTTTACTGGAAAAGACACCAGCGATCAGCCTGCTGCACGTCCACGGGAACCCAGGCTGACAACACAGGGCGCCACTCGGGTATACTTCCGGTCTGGAATGGGTTCCTAAAACCTGAGGTAGAAGAGGATGCGGGTTCTCATGGGGGCTGAGCAAATGGCAAAGCAGGAGGTGCGGGCGCCTTGACCCACCCCACGGAAGCGAAACCGCCTCCACTTCCGGAAATGTGGGTACAGAGGCAAAGAGCCCACCCACCCCTGGCTAGGGCTCTACGCCCCAGCTCGATTCCTGCCAGGGCCTGGATTCCAGTCAGGGAACTGTTGTCATTCATTTGGGCCCCTGGTCCAACCACTGGGGCAGTTGGACTCCCAAAGCACCCGAAGCCCAGGGGTGCTCGCTGCTCAGGGGAGGAGGCTGGGGAGGAGCTCCTCCCTGCAGGGGTCCCGCAGTGCCCCGGGGCTCAGGGCTCAGAGCAGCGGGGCTCAGGCCTGCATCGTGGTTCTCCTCGGAACCTGAAGACTTCCTCCCGCAGACGGTGGGGAAAGACTCGGTGAAAGTCTGCCAGTGTTCTCAGGAGTGGAAGTGAGAGGTGCTTGCTTTGGGGCCTAAGGCAAGCGAGAGCTTAGCCCTCTTCCCTGCACAGCCCCCGCCCCTGTGCGCCCTCACTGGGAACCTTCCGTGCGTGCCCGCTCTGGACGGCCGCATCAGGGCCCCTGTAGCAAGGGCGCTGCTGCGTCTCCACTCCAGCTCCTTTCTAAAGGGACCTTCAAGTTGGCAGCCCCCCAGGAAGGATGTGGCGTGCTCCCCTCACTCGTTTGTCGACAAATGCAAAGCATCTGGGTCGGAGAGTAGAGCTCAGACTCCTCCCCAGCCCCTGGGAGGCATCTGTGTCGTGGCTTCAGGCCCTGTGTCCACCACTCTAGACCACCTTGACCTTTAAGGACAGTATTCACTGTGTGCATACAGCTGGGAGGCCCCGGAGCTGTCCACTCGTCCCCCTCCACATCTCAGGGATGGGCAGCTGCTTGTGGGAGCAGAGCACTGCCCTTGGGCATGGCTGCCCTGGGTGGAAGGTGACCAGATCGCTCTCCCCTCCCCAGTTTCAGCTTGGTTTAATTTCTCTTGCTCTGACAGCTTCACAGGCAGTCCCCCAATGGCGTTACAAGTCAATGTGCACATACACTCTCTGTAGAGTGGACATCATTATCCATGTCAAATAGTTACTTGGTTTTATAATCTCTGTGGTTTTATAGAAAAGTTCAAACATTTCAAGGTTTTAATTTCTGCTACTCCTTTTCTGTAAGATTTGGAATCCAATGGCTGCTATTGCAAGTCACAATAATTCTCAGAAAGAAATACTGTCGCAGAGCTAATGCCCTGCTGATCAGTCGCAGGGCTGGTCCACCGCGCACGCTGAGAACCAACTAGGAAAGATATTTGCAAAAATAGTTGGAGACTGTAGAGTTAATAAACAAACAAAGCTCAAGTGAAACTGCCCCCCACACAGCCAGGGGCTGAAGATCAGTTTCCCCAACCCCATGGCTCCACTTCCCAAGTCACTCACACACAAAGACACGAGGAGGCAGCACGTCTGATGGACTGCACCCACGCACGCACTCAGACACACTCAGCCACAGCTTTAAATACACCAAACATGCTGGTTAATAAAAGTTTAGTCTCTAGTTATCTATTTACACTCTACAATATAAGCAGTAAGCTCAAACAACTAAGGCCAGTGGCACTTCTTTGGGGAGAGGCAGGAAAAAGAGACCTAAGTATAAAAATATTAAATGAAATCTTAACCTGGTCCTACGATGCTTTCACTGTGATGCCAGCCGCTAACGTGGGCAGCTGTGAACCTAGAATACAGTACCCGAGGCGGGGTACCGGGGACCACCTTGGTGCTTGTGGTGTTTCTTTAAAGTCGGGAGGGCAAGGATATGGCACCAGGAGAGTGGTTTGCTATATTGTAAAATACACACAGATACACGGCGGATATGCTGGGTACTTGTTTCATTCTCTGGCTGTATTTTCCTGGGCTAATTACGACAATAAAGAACGTGTGCTTTCAAGCATCACATTTTGTAATAAGCCCAAAACTGTCGCTTCAACTTTATGTCTAAGTGCTCGTAATACTGAAGTCGTTAAGACTGAACAGGCTGGGTTTTTTCCCCCTTTTCTTTTTGTATTTCCCAGATTACAATGAGCTACCCCCTTGGTATTGCACGTAGTTCACTTCAGTAAATTCACAAGGTCAGTCCAAAGTCAGTTTTGCCCTGATGATTCCAAGCTCAAAGATGGAATTTCTAGCATAAAGTCTTATTAAAAATTTTAATCAAAATACCATTTAAAGTTTAATAAAAACAATACCACTATATATACTCTCAATAACTGCATTATATAATCAATCCTGTGAGGTTTTTACTTGCTTTTCATTATCACACTAGTTATTAAGGACAAAAATAATTTCACTGTACATGTACCACACAGAGATACAGAGTTTACACGCTGATGCAGGTACACACAAACAACTACAAACACCTAAAAACACCACTCTGGCAGGTGACAGGAAGCACTTTCTTTGACGTCTGACAACTGGTCTGCATGAACATTTTCCTACCGCCTGCAGTACACGACACAGTATGAGCCAGAGAGACGTAAGGAAGCCTACTGTATACACAATGGTGTAACTCACAATGTTTCCTTGCTGCTGTACTCAACTAACTCATGCAGATTCAAGTACATATTTACTGACACTCTCTCTGCATGCAAGGCGCCAACTGCCCACTGGGGTGTTGGACACTGTAGGTACAACAGGAGAGTGACTTTGGACTTCAGTCCTCTTCCTAAGGATGAGAGATGGAAAAGGAACCCAAGGGGAGAAGCAGCGGCGAGGTACCTCTGTCACCATCAGCAGCCATCACACTCTCATTCTTGGGTGACCTCAGATGTCCTCCAGATGACTTGATGGTCTAAGGTGTTCCAAGACTGGCGGAGACTTATCTGCTGGCATGGGCAGACCAGCAGCCTGGCCTCTGGGAGGAAAGATGGCCAAGAGCTCTGGAGCAACAGAGATGCTGTTGAACAAACTCAGAAGCTCCTGAAACCCAGAGTCCCTCTATTATTCCTTCATAAACTACATTCTACTCTGACGAGTCCCGGGACACCACCTAAGCTCTTTGTTTTACGGTGCTAGTCTTAGAATTGGAGAGAATACTGTCCTTCGAAAGGGAAGAGGCTGCTCACTGTTGAAACCTGCCAGCGTGTCCACACAGTCCACCGCACGAGCTAAATGACAGAGATGTGGACCTACCAAGCTAAGAAACTGCCTCTAAGCTCTGGCTGAAATAAACTACACCAACGGGAAAAATACCTCAGGAATTCAGATTTCAAGGGAAAATTAGCTAAATTCTGGAAGGTGTGGACAGAAAGCCCATGGAGGAACTTCTTCAAGGTCTCTGCATCGTAACTGTGAATGAACAGGTTGAAGGTGTAGGAGATGCACTAAAGAGGGAGCAGGCCTTGCTTCCCTAAGAACATCTTTCTGGCTCATTAAAGAGGAAGCACAGCAGAAATTATTCAAGCTGTACACAGGCAGCGAAGCGCCTCTTTCCCTGCTGGTCTTCCCCCCACCTCAGGAGTTCTGGGATTTGGCCACAAGGTAAAATACAAACTGAGCCTGGCCCTGGTTCCCTCTTCTAGAGCTGACCTCCCCCCTCCCACCCCAACCTGGGCCCGGGCGCTTGCTGCCTCAGAAATGGCCCTCACCTTCCAGGTCAGGGTTACAGCTGGAGAAGCACAGAGGGTTTGGAAACTGCTACAAACAAGGCACTGCCCAGGAAAATGCTGTCCCTCCTCTTCACCTAAGAGCAAGGGGAAAGCTTACACATGATCCAGGAGGTGCCTTGCCATCAGAGAACTCTACCCTGCACGTGAGATTAATTAAGTACACAACTATATTGCTTGGTTTAATCAGGCAATGCTAGGTGTTAGGTGAAAGGTTATTATTTTTTTTCCTAAAGTACCTTTGAGAAATGTCTATGGTTTGGCAATAAAAGCAGCATTCTGCATGCCAGGAGTGAAGTCTGATTGCTAGCAAGGAGTTCTTGACCCCTCCCTGTCAAAGCCAGCAGCAAGGTGGGGACAAACCCCACTGTACTCTCGGGTTTTATACCTGGGCTACTTCTGTGGTTGACTTTGCAGTAAGACCATCACCAGGGTATTCTGATGACTATCAAGACCTTGAAGCTAGAAGTTCCTATTAGGGGTATTTATGTGATGAGAAATAATTACTTGTCACAAAGGGAGAAATCCCAGACTCCTGGGCAGTGAGGTAGGGTGAGGCCCGGGCATGGGGCAGGGGAGGGGTGAAGTACCTGCGAGGGAGAGGGAGGCAGCACGTGCCCCTGTACCATTAACTGGGCCCTGACTGTGGGGAGCTGTGCCAGGAAACGTCTTCCACCTCTTCTGGCTAGATGCCAGATGGAAGCAACGGCCACAAAAGAAAACAGGGCTGGTCACGGGCCAGACTCTCCGGATGCGGTCAGCTCAGGAAGTGCGCTCCTCCCATGGGACAAACTCAATCTGCTGTGACATCCTTACAGAGTGCCGGGGAGGAGCCCATCCCACACAGATGGGCAGCATCATGCTGGGGTAATCTGGGATCCCGGCTCACAAAGGAACACCTTGGAAGTTGTTTATGAGATGAACTGTGCAAGGCGGTACTCCTCAGCTTCAACAGTGCCCTTATCATCCAATGATCTCTTAGCACATCCAGAAATCCCCGGGGCGAACACTTAATGAGTGCTGTAACAGGAACATGCTATCGTAGTATTTCAATATGACCCTCCATGCCAGAAATACGGTAGCAAGGTACCATTCAACATAGACTACAGACTATCAGTCAAACACACACACATTCTCTATACGCAGACACACACTGTAGGCAAACACATTCAAACCATAGATGACATGGTCTAAGTACCTCTCTCTCCTCACCTACTAATAAATATTGATGCAGAAAACAAACACATTGATAATTCAGATTTTAGGCAGAAAGACAACCTGCTTGTGGAAACCTTGGGTTCATTAAGGAGCTATGCAAATGCATCAGGTGCATGGGCCACGAGAATAACTGCCCTGATTGTTTCCTGTTCTGAAACAGAAATTTGTTCATTGCTTCTACCTAAACAAGAGAGAGAAACAGAGAGAGCGAGCGAGCTAGTTTTTTCAAAGTACCGCAAGAGGCAAGCAAGCAACTACAACTTAGGGGGAGATTACTCTTCTCTGGGCACTTGCAAATATGGACATGTACACGGGGAAGGATGTAAACACTGACAAATCTTCCTGCAAGTAAAGGCCAGTACATCATCATCATATACCACTAGAAACCACCCCACATCCAAACGGGCTTTCTCAAGTTCACTGGAACCACACTATCCACTCAGAGCAGCTGATTCTTTGGTCATCGTACCGTCAAACTAATAAACTGCGTAGATGAGAGAAGACTTCTACAGGAGGAAAAAGAATATTCAAAGTGACTCCATTAGTTCTGAATTTGTGGTGACTGTAACTTTCAGGACTACAAAATTTCAAGACTTGGGAATCGGAAAGTTCTAAAGCCAGAGTGGGCTGAACTTTCACACTGCCTCCTCCTCCTCTGTAAGAGAATGTCCTGTTGATCACCTTGAATTTCAAAGGGACTATCCTGCAACAAGCTTGTGCCTGCAACGTTAACAGAGCAGCTTGAAATGTTTTTTATGAGGAAGCTCGGTAGTAGCTGAGTGAAGTGGCTACACAAGAGATGGTCATGAAAAATGGACCAAGCAGCTTCCCATGGCTGCCAGCAGATTTCTGTTTCCCAGCCACAATTCAGGGTAGCACTTCCTTACGGCCTTACACCCATTGCCTGGCAACTGCAGCTTCTTTTTCCTCCTTATTTTGTCATGATTTAAGGAAAGAAAAAAACGGGGTTCCACTTTCAACATGTTGTTAGGAAGCAAGACCCCCAATATTCTTACAACCAGGAAATAACCCATGCCTAATATATACATACACGTTAGAGTTAAAAAGAACCTATTCCTGGATGGAAGGGTACCAACAACAGAGATGATTCTGGATTCCTAGTCTACCCCTGTGGGAGTGAGGTAACAAACACCTGTCTACGGCTGCAGCTCCCCGGGGACCCATTACTGCCACCATCCTGTAGAAAACAAAACCCACAGGGAGCAGGCTTCACTCAACCTTCCACGGCAGTACGACTCCACTTCTGCTTCCCCCTGCTTGGCTGAAATGGAATCCACACTTGAAGCCAGCTGCTGTGTGCTCCTAAGTCCTCCAGCCCTGTGATCTGCACGCCCCTTTCCCTGCTTCCAGCAGGGCCAGAGCTCAACAACAGTGCGAAGATGCACACAGAGCTGCATGGTACTGGAACCTCTTGATTCCCAGCCTTGTCATCCTTCCTTGAGCATCGGGAGCGCTCAGTTCCACCTCTGTGACTGGGCAAGAGTTCACATATAAAGGCTTATATTAACTCTGGCTAGAATTTACTAAACTACAAAGTTTGTCCAGTTAAGTGTTTCACAATGGATTAAATTTTTTAACCTTAAAAAAAGGTATAACAGTTGATTTGAGAATACATAAGACAACTGAGCAGTGTGCAAACAAGAGAAAACCAAAGGAGAAGGAATACATAATTCATTCTGAAATCATGATCCCCTCCCCCTCACAAAAAGGTGCATTAGTTATCAAGTTGCAAAAAAATCATCAAAGCAAAGAAATCAAGAGCAAAGACAGTCTGTACAGAAACTAACAAAAATATATAATAGAAAAAGTTACTAATGCACCATTTAGTCACAGACTTTTTTTTTTTTTAATATATTCATGGATTACCCGAAAGATCGTGAAAAATCCTATTTTGCTCCATGACCAGCACTTCCTGGCCGCAGATGAATTCTAAGTGACTTTTTGCTTAATGCTTGGTGTCTCAGGCCGGTGATCCTTCCTCTCGGACACGTTGCGCTTGACCTTGGCGGTGATGGGGGATGAATCTGGGTTCAGCGACGGGCTTGAGTGTGACTTCTTCAGTCCGGCAGCCTCGTTTTCATCGTTACTCAGCAGCTCCTTGCCTCCCTCTTTGAGGATGCTGACGTAGATTTCATACCGGGTTTTCTGAAGGCAAAGTCAGAGCAGCAGGACGGTCAGCACATTATTCACGATTGCACGGATCTGCGGCACACCCAGCACGCTAACTACCTCGAGAAAGCAAAGGGCCTGCTCCTTCACCCAATGGACACACTGCGTGGACACTTACTGGGCATATGAGAGGCAACAGCTACAGGAGACTGACTCATTGATTCACATATTTAGATAAAAATTAAATTAGAACTGTAGTTATCATTTGCCTGGATTCTGAAGGAGTGCCAGTGTGGAACTGTTGGCTACTCGTAGATGGAAGAAGCAGGCATCCTGAACTCAGGCACGAGGGGGCCAAGGCGGAATCCACACCCACGTCTCATGGGAACATGGCCGTTCACTTTTTCCCCTACTCCCTGTAACTCCACAAGACTCGGTGTGTGGGATCATGCCACGGTGACTACCCTCCAGAGCCCTGTAAGACAGCAACATTGTCTAGAAGCTTCTCTGGGTTTCTCTGTACTGCTCTTTTGCTGGGATTAGCCACATCTCAGGCTACTATGGACAACAGAAAGTTCACGAAACTTGAAATCATTTTCTGATGCTTTTGTCATCCAACACAATTTCCTTCCTCATCCACTATTTATTGAATGCCCGCTATGTTTCAAGTGGCTGCTGGATTCCTCTGCCTTGGGATATCTTCCTCCAAGAACAGTTGATAAGAATACCACAGAGACCGCTTTCCTCTAGCCCAAGGGTACTGTTTTTTGCTTTTGTTTCTATTTGAGCTGAGTCACTACACAGAACTATTGTATACTGCAAATTGCAAAAGGACCCTGGATTCTTGTCAAAACAACTCTTTCACTACGCTGCCTCCACCCATGAAGAACCTACAGGACTAAAGTGATTTCTTCTAACCGAACACGTCAGTTATAAATTGTCCCAACAGAGGCAGTCCAATTCTGTTATGGTTATACATCTTTTAGAGATTGTTCAAGTCAGGGGTGGGTTTCACAGATGTCAGTTTTAAGTCAGCAGTTGTGTGATGCTACCGTTCACGCTGCCTCTCCCAACAGTGGAGAGAGGCTGCTAGTCACTGAATTTGCTCTGGGTCTGGCTGGTGTCCAAGTGAAGGTGCTGCACTTTGGCTGTTGCTGCTGACGTGTGCTGGGTGCCCAAGTGCTAATTGTGGGTCATCCATCCATTCAGCCTACACACACCGGTAGTACTTTTTGTCTCAACAAAGAGAGTAGCCCTGGGTTTGGACTCAGGCAATCTGACTCCAGAACCTATGCCCTTAAGCTGTATTTCCTCTCTGGATATGAAAATACAGATCCATAAATGAATGTGTATTGTAGGTGACCTCTGACACTGTTGGTGGACCAATAAAAAGCCATTCTCCTAAGTCTCTGCCTGTGGTGCTGGTATCCCATGTGGGTGTTGGTTCGATCCCTGCTGCTCCTCTGCTGATCCAGCTCTCTGCTATGGCCTGGGAAAGCAGTGGAAGATGGCCCAACTGCCTGGACCCCTGCACCCACATGGAGACCCTGGCTCCCGGCTTTGGATCGGCTCAGCTCTGGTCATTGCGGCCATTTGGGGAGTGAACCAGAGGATGAAAGAGCTTTCTCTCTGTCTGTCCCTCTCTCTGTCTGTTAACTCTACCTCTCAAATAAATAAATAAATCTTAAAAAAAAAAAAGACATGATTCTGATCTGTTTTCCTCAGGCCAATTGTGAAATTTAAGTTTTAATTCAAAGCACATGTGTAAGGAAAAGCAAAGAAACAGCAAGAAAAGTATTTGTAATGATTTATTTTACTTGCAAATCAGAGTTACAGAGAGAAGGGAGAGAGGGTGAGGGAGGGAAAGAGAGAGAGACAGAGAGAGAAAAGAGAGATCTTCTACTCCTGGTTCCCCCAAATAGCTGCAATGGCCAGGGTTGGGCCAGGCTGAAGCTGGGAGCCTGGAACTTCATCCAGGTCTCCCACATGGGTGGCAGGTGCCCAAGCACTTGGGCCATCTTCCACTGCCTTCCCAGGTGCATCAGCAGGGAGTGGAGTGGACGTGGAGCAGCTGGGGCTTGAACTGGCGCTCATATGGCATGCTGGGGTCAGGTGGCAGCTTAACCTGCTACAGCACAGTGCTGGCCCCTGTAAATCATGTTTTAGAGGTGAGATGTACCTGCTAAGATGCTGAGAATTTGATGATCAACACTGAAATAGTGTCAACCAAGCAGACGCTGTTGGCTGTTTCCTGCATAGCTTCTTCTGTCGTGCCAATGGAACTGTGGATTTTATTAAGGATGTCAATGTGCCCAGCCCCACGTGGAATTACGGTTTGAACATACAGGACAACCCTTGCGCCCTGTTGCTGGTCTCCCAGCCATGCAGCCTGGATTTTCCCACTGACCTGTAAGCAGAGGTCTTCTAGGATGCTTTGGAGAAAGCAATTTTTGTCATCCAATAAAAGGCATTAGACAACATGTCTGGAGCTACGGGAGCCTTCTGAGACCAGGATGTGACAAGCATGGAAACAAGAAAGCCAGTGTGCTCATGACGGCTTGTCAGACATCCAGAATGACTGTGCATCCTTGATGGCAACCCCGAGGAGCCAGCAACCACCCACTTGCAACTTTCCTGAGGTTAGAAATGTTTACACTGCTTTCACACGTAGTCAAGTTTTCCATTATTTACAGCCAAAAATATTTTTAACTCATAAAATGTGAACACTCAGTTTTGTCTCAATCACAAAGAACAGATGAGTTGCACATATAACTCCAGGCTTAATTTAGGTAAAAATTATTGATTAATAAGCTTTGGTTGTCACATTGCTTTATTAGGATTTTTCTGTAAATAGTCAACAAATTATTAACACCTATTACTCTACTATGGGCCACACTATAGTTACATAATCAATCGTAAATCAATGGCTAGTCACTGAATTATTATTTCCAGTGATAGTTTTATGTCATTTGCTTAATCTTCTGGGTGGAGAATACTGTTCTCTCAGTTCTTACCTAAAGCATCATGTAGGATATCCATTGGTCTGTAAGAGACCCTTAAGGGCTATCCAAAAAAACTGACAGTTCTATACCATTTCAGATTTTAGGTAACTTTTAGTATTCTAGTATTTGGGGAACAAGGTGAAGATATTTCTTAAATTATGAAGAAGGAAGCTTGACAATTAAAAGCTTGCTTTGATTCTTCTTTCTGTAATATCCCACATTTCTGTCTGTCAGTAACTCCTGTTTCCATACATTCAGAACATATGAGGATACTTATAAAAAAAATGAAACCCATGCATAGTTCCATAACACGCATTTTCCACATTTTGAAGACCCCTTGAATTCAGAACTGCACTGGTTCTCACTGCCTGCACCACTTCCGGTCTAGCGCCTGCATGGTTGTTCCAACAGCTGCCTGACTGGTCTCCCTGCGTCCCTTCTCTCCCAGTACTCCCACCTCTCAGGTCTAATTTCTCACCTTCCCCCTGGGATCACAGTCTGCCAGTGAACACAGCACACACCTGGGAGACCTTTAGTACTTGCTATTCTCACTGCCCTTAAAGCTATTCCTCCCTAAACCCACAGGGGGCGTTTCCTCCTCCCTCTCCTTCACCTCTTTCAGGTCTCCACTCAGATGTCAACTTTCCTCTGGGGCCTCTGGCCACTGAAATCTAGAACTCCGACACCTACTTCACAACCTTGTTTTCCTCAAAACTTCTCTCTTCTAACAGCTCAGATTTTACTTTCCCAAAAGCTGTCTTTTGGCCCTGGACCCAAGTACTAGATGCATCTGTAATGGTGTTGGCCTTGTGTTGGTTTACTGATGTGTTCCCAGCAAATGACAACACACAGCATATGCTGAATAACAAATATGAGAAAATAAATTTCCCTATACCTGGAAGAAGATATATTTATAATAATTCAGATGTCCAGACTATGGCACATTCTTGAGAAATAAAAACATGAGTATAGATGCCTGACGAGCCTAATTCAGCACCATCTGAGGACACAGCTTTGCCTTCCGTGTTCCACTGTTCCCGTGTTTTCCACAAAAACACCAAGGTCTGACCTTGCTGGTGCCAGAGCTTGGTCAACACTTTGGGAAGGCTTGGCCACATCTTATGTCCACTTGACCTTGGCTGTCAGGATACCAGGCCTGGCAAATCCTGCACGTGCACTGAGACGTGGACTGCCCTACTTAGGGCTGGAGCTCACCGCCTCCACAGAAGAAGAAGAGTGGCTTCCACCCCACCTCTGAGGTGCATAAAGCCTGAGCTCCTCTGATGTAGGCGACGCCACTAGCAGGAGTGGTCTCCTGCATCCTCTCTACCACTACGTGCCCTTCTTTAAAATGGGAGAAAAAGAAGGTGTGTTTGGGGATGGTTGTGCCACCTTTGATTATGTCATTAAAGACTTTGTCTTAGTCTCTGCAAACCCATTCTCAGGTCATTTCTCAATGATTTCAGAGCTGCGCGCTTAGTGTCCTCCTAGGGAATGCCCAACAGTGGAAACAGATCTCTAGCAGTGTAACTGCATAACACAATCCACCGCCCAAATTAACAGCTCGGAATGGGATTCCCATGCAGTCCAAGTGCAGTGGCTGCTCTCCATGGGTAAGCATCTGAGTTCTATTTTCCTGGATGTGGCCCACTCAGCAAGCTCTCTCCCTTCCTGTCTTTCTTAAGATCTGCTATTTTCATCAGTGTTCTGTGATCGTGTAGATCTGAAGGTAACTCAGATGCTCATGACTTCTTTTTCTACCCAGTTTTCTTTACTATATTTATTTATTAAGCTGATTCTCAATTAACTGTACAAATCCTTTCCAGTGTATAGAAAGCGTCCCTTCCTTTTCACTGGTAGCAATGCCTACTGGGGACGAATGGTGAATACTGGGTCTCAGGCTTTGTAAGCTGCTACTTGGGTTGCATGTTGATTGCTTGCTGAAAAAAAAAAAATCCATGCCACTGCCGATAATTCTTTGAGAAGTTGTTTAATCACATCCACAGGTAAATTTATATGTATCTGATTGAACAG